TTTTTTTTTTACTTAAAAAAGATAAAACACGGATTGTTTTTTGTTATGTTCTATGTGTTTCTCATAGAACATTCTCATGTTTATGTTTTGTTTGTATGACGATCCTGATTTCGAAAAACCCGCTACTCGTTCAAATCTTTTTTGTTTTTACCGCCACATTTCATTCGTATCATTATCATTATTATTAAGAGGATGTTTTTTTTTTTTTTTTTTCGTTAAATTAATTTCGCCGATTAATAAATTTTTGTATTTAATAGCATCGAACGGATTTATAACAAAAATAATAATAATAATTTTTTTTTTTTAAACGAATTGCTCAGGGGTCAGAGAGAGAGAGAGAGAGAGAGACAAAGTTCAATGTTAAAAATTACCCAAATTAAAACTGTTTTTTTTGTCTTTTGTGGTCGAAAATTATTTCGTGAGTCATATATATATATAAAAATATGTTTTTGTTTTTCCATTTGTCGTTTCCGTTTTTTTTTTTATTACAACATTTTAAATTAAATTATTTATCAATAAAAACAAAAACAAAAAAAAATTAAATTAAATTAAATTAAATTAAATGCAAAATAATGAATCCAATTATAAATTTTTATTATTATTTTTTAAATGGAAAAGTGATTTTAGAAATCGTATCTAAAAAGAAAAAGAAAATTGTATTTCATTTAAAAAAAAAATAATAATAATAATAATGATATTTTTATTTTCGAATTTTATTTTATTTTATTTTATTTTTAATAAAAATTTATTTTTTTGTTTACACGATGAGTAATCCTCGAGTTCACATTTGAAATTCCAGTCAATTTAAATTTTTATGTTGTAGGTAAATGTTAGAAATTTATCAAATTTACTTATTTTTTCTGTTTGAGAATGTTTCATTCTAATTCATCAACGGCAATGCTAATAATAATAATAATAATTTTTAGAGAAAAATGAAATGAGCATTTTAAAATGATTGACAATTTAAATTTTCATTCGATGCAGCAGCACAAAAAAGTGTTAAAATTTAAATTGTTTATTTATTGTAAAGTTTCCATAGTTGAATGGTAGAAATTATTACAAAATTATGTAAATAATATTTAATTAAAAGTAAAAAACCGCAAAACTCCTACTACTCGTCGAGTGAAAAAAAAAAAAAAACAATTGAAATAAACATGAGAAATTTTATTATTATTATTATTATTATTATTATTATTATTATTATTATTATATTATCGGACGTTTGTTTGTTTGTTAATACGCTACCGTATGTTAAGGAAAAAATTATTATTCGTTTAAGATTAAAAAAATAATCTCGTGAATGATTTCAATTTTCTCAAAAACATTCGATTTAACGTTTTAATAATAATAATAATAATAATAATAATAATAATAATAATAATAATAATAATAATAATAATAATAATAAAACAATCGTATACCTTTTTCAAAAGATAGTAGTATTGGAAAAAACGTTGGGGAAAGAATTACGTACGAGAGTCAAGGAAAGTCAAGAAAAATAATAATAATAATAATAATAAATTGTAATGATGATGATGATAATAATAATAATATAAATAGTAATTGATGCCGATTCAAAAAAAAAAAAAAAAAAAAAAAAAAAAAAATTTTTTTTTTTTTAAAAACATTCGACTTACCAAACGACCGTGAAAATTTATCAAAGTTGAATGACATTTAAATTCTATATTATTTTACTTATTACGATATTTATTCGAATCTATTAAAAATGTCTAAATAGATATTCGTACACATTATTTATTTATTTATTTATTTGGAAAATTTGCATCCCGAATCTTATCCCGAAAATTCCTTTTTTTTTTTTTTTTTTCTCACATGGACCAATTATCGAGTTCGCATGCAAGCGAGCAATGAAACGAGATGCAAATTTTACCGAACAAATTTATTATTATTATTATTATTATTTTTTTTTATTGATATATTATTTATTTATTTATTTAAATATATATATATTTATTTGGGTTTTCAGTTAGTATTGTTCGACACTCAAAATGGGAAAACTTTTGTCAAAAATTTTCGGCAACAAAGAGATGAGAATATTGATGCTGGGTCTGGATGCTGCTGGAAAAACAAGTACGTTTTTATAAAATGTTGTTTTGGAATTTAATTTATTAATAATAATAATAATAATTTTTATTTATTTTTTACTTCCTCCCCCTCCCCCACAAAAAAAAAAAAAATCCCTGCAGCTATTTTATACAAGTTGAAGTTGGGACAATCAGTGACCACAATACCCACAGTAGGATTTAATGTAGAAACCGTTACATATAAAAATGTTAAATTTAACGTTTGGGTAAGTGTTTTCATTTTCTCTCTCTCTCTCTCTCTCTCTCTCTCATTGTACGTAAAAATTTTCTATAAAGTTTAAATTTATTTTTTTAATGTTTTTATTAGGATGTAGGAGGGCAAGATAAAATTCGACCTCTTTGGCGGCATTACTACACGGGTACTCAAGGTTTGATATTTGTTGTTGATTGTGCCGATAGAGATAGAATCGATGAAGCAAGACAAGAATTACATAGGATAATAAATGATAGAGAAATGAGAGAAGCTATAATACTTATATTTGCCAACAAACAGGATCTTCCTGATGGTAAAACATTAACCAAATTTGTGCAATTAATTGTTTTTCTTTTTGTGCACATTTAAATTTTATCACAGCAAAAAAAAAAAAAAAAAAAAAATTTACAGCTATGAAACCGCATGAAATACAAGAAAAATTAGGACTGACTCGAATAAGAGACAGAAATTGGTACGTTCAACCATCTTGTGCTACAACAGGGGATGGCCTTTACGAGGGTCTAACTTGGTTAACGTCCAATCACAAGTTATAACGATCCATTCAAAAAAAGATTCAAGGACGAAATTTATTTATTTATTTTTTTATTTCATTGGTAAAACATACATTTATTATTATTATTATTATTATTATTTGCTTTAATGAATTTTAGACGTTTCCTTATTCTCTCCATCCTTTGAATTCTTTGCAATTTATTAATTTACGTGATCAAAATGATGATGATGATGATGATGATGAATGAAAGAAAATTATTATTATTATTATTATTATTTTTTTTTTTTTCCAGATAATTCGTCAATCAAATTATTATTATCCGTTTGCATTTAATTGCCTATTTTTTTTTTTTTTTTTTTTTTTTTTTTATAGGGAAAAAGTATAAAATTTTCCAAATAAATAATAATAATAATAAGGGAAAATTAATTGTAATTTATAACTATAAAAAAAAGGAAAAAGAAGGAGAAGATGAAGAAAAAAATAAAAA